TGTAAGCTTCTTGTATGTTTATAGGTATCATTCTTTATGTTGGGGAAATTTCCTTCTATGATTTTGTTGAAAATATTTTCTGGGTCTTGGAACTGGGATTCTTCTCCTTTTTCTATTCCTATTATTCTTAGGTTTGGGTTTTTCATGTTTTCTCAGATTTCTTGGATGTTTTGTGTCAGAAACTTTTTAGATTGAATGTTTTCTTTGACTGATGTATCGATTTCTTCATTCATATCTTCTACTCCTGAGAGTCTCTCTTCCATCTCTTATATTCTGTTAGTGATGCCAGTGTCTGTAGTTCTTGTTCTCTTCTTTAGATTGTCCATATCCTGGATACACTCATTTGTGTTTTATTTATTGTTTCTATTTCCATTTTCAGGTCATCAAATGTTCTATTTATTTCCTTCCCTTGTTTGATTGTATTTTCCTGTATTTCTTTAAGGGATTTATTAATTTCCTCTTTATTGGCCTGTGTCATCTTCATAAGATTGGATTTAAGGTCATCATCTCGTGCTTTACCTGTATTAGGACATTCAGGGCTTGCTGTAGTAGAATAGCTGGGCTCTGGTGGTGCCATATTGCTTTGACTCTTGTTGATTTTGTTCTTATCCTGGCCTTTTGCCATCTGGGCTTTTTGGTTATTATAGGTTTAGATGCTGATTTTGATCTCTGCACTTACCATTGTTGGATGGATGGGTTTTTTTAAATGTTTTCTTTTTGGTTTCTGTTTCCTCTCTGTTTACAGGCCTTAATGGCTTGTAGTTCTGGTAACTACATAGTTTGAAGTCCAGTAGGATGTCTCCCCTGACATTTTTGTGGTCTGCGTGGTCTCTGGGTTTTTGGGTATTACTCTTGCCTCTTGAGTCCCTAGTACCAATGAAACTTGGGGTCCCTGGTGCTGGTGGGACTTCAGAAAAGCAGCTCAGGTTGTGGACTGAAAAAGGGAGTCCAGTGAGTATGGTTCACTTTAAGGTTGATGGATGTGTTTATGGGGAATATTGTGGACAAGGGCTTGGATCAGGGTCTTACTTATTTGTATCTGGTGACTGCAGGCCTTCAGGAGTGCTGGCTGAGTTGTGAGGCAGGAAATGGTGCATAGGGTATGGGTGCTATTTTTCGCTGTTGTGAGTGCTTTCAGGTATTTAGTGGGTAGGAGCTTTGAGGAGAGCTTACCGAATTTTCCTGTTACTGGTGGGCCTCCAGGAAAGCAGGTATCATTGTGGGGTGGGAAATGGAGCACAAGGTATGGGGTACAGTTTACAACTTTTTAGTGTGCTTTCAGATGAGTCGGATGGTAGGGGCTTGGGCAGGGAAAGGGCTTACCTGGTGTCCCTGGTGCCAGCAGGCCTCTGGAAAAGCAGGCAGAATTGTGGGGCAGAAAATGGGGCAGGAGGTATGGTGTGCAGTGTACTGCTGTTGGGAGTTGAAGGGCAGAGGCTTAGAGGGGAGAGAGGTTTCCTGGCCTCTAGGGTCTAGCAGGTCCTCAGGAATGTAGGCAGAGTTGTAAGGTGGCAAATGGAGCACGGGGTTGGGTGTGCATTCAGGAGAGTTCAGCTACCACTTTTTGTTGTTTGTTTTTCTTTGTTTGAGATTCAGGCTTGGATATGTCTCAGGTTGTTTGCTGTGGATGACCTTAAAGTTTCCATCTTCCTATCCCTACCTCCTGAGATCTGGAATAACAGGCATGTGCCACCATTCCCAATTTATTCACTATGGTATCAAACCCAGGGCTTCTGCCATGTTAGGCAAGTGTCCTACCAACTCAACCACATCCACAGCCCACCCACCACTTATTTTATCATTTGACTAGGCTCCTGGTTAGAAATTCCCAGTGCATTAAAGTTTCAAAATCATCATCCTATCCTGCAGTTAACCAAATTTTCAGTGCAGATGAAAAGCCAAAACTTTAACTTCATTCTATATAGGAGGCATCAGCAAACTGAAACTGGAGTCCATGTCTGTGTGATTTGGAAGCCCATCTTCTTGACATGTTTCCTTTCTTTTTTCTTTTGTGGGACACATCTCACTCTTTAGTCTGAACAGGCTTGAAATTCATAACAATCCTCCTGCCTTCACCTTTCTAGAGCTGGGATGACAAGTATGAGCTACCACATATAGCTGCATTACTTTTTTAAAACCAGCTTTATTTGAGCTTAGCAACAAAAAAACTACTTATTCTACGCAGTTGCCTGTTTTGTATTTCTCCAAAGACAAAGTTTTTCAGTGTAACAGCACTTGGCTATCCTGGAACTCACTCTGTAGACCAGGCTGGACTCTTGAACTAACAGAGATCTGTCTACCTCTTGGGTGCTGGGATTAATGGCATGTGCCACTATGCCTGGCCCTACTACATGAGGTTTTACAATACTTAGAGGAAAAGAATTTCTCCAGCCAATTTTGAAGCTTGAGGTAGTCTGTTTTGTGATTTTATGAATTGGTGCTTTATATATGTATAGGAAAGATGAGGAAAGATTGAAAATCCTCCACTAAACAATACTGTCCATCTTGGAAAAGCCCTGAATGGGTGACCCATGAGTCCTCCCCATTTTTGAGGCATTTTAATAACCTGAGTAATTGCTTGTGATAGACAGGTATTAGTTTCTGCTTATTAATGACTCTCCAGGCATGATTTTATTCCTCTTCCCACTTATTGACATGCAGAGATAAAGAAAATGGTGTTGGAAGCTGATTGTCACATCACTATCTGCATAGCAATGCTTTCCTACCTGCTTTGACACAGAGAGAAAAGGGGAGAGGAGAAGGAAAAGGATGTGACAAAGAACTGCCATGAGTTAAATCTGTTTGAAAAGCCAAATTCTGGTACAGAAACCAGAAGTCTGAGCAGTGTAAATTATTGATATTTGTGCATGGCTAGGATTTTAGGATTGATCCTTTCAAAATATGTGTGTCCTCTTCCTTCTGTGATCCATAGTACGTTCTGGAAACACACACACACACAGGTAAGTATTAAAGATTTGTGTTTCTTTTTGCTCTTGTGGCTTTTGTCTTGATCCTTCAGGTACTCCTGTGTGCAGTCTATAGAGTATTTATAACATCGGACTATCATCAGAACCCCAAATGAAATGTGGATTATTTACTTACAAATGTATCTTTCCAATAGTCTAATGACTATAACCTACATAAGCAATGTGGCAGAACAACTTGAGATGGGCTTGAATGGAAGTGTGTGTGGATATGGTTTGAGAACGTTGTTTGTTGAAACAAACAAACAAACAAACAAACAAACAAACAAACAAACCTCCTTTATTTCTGGAACAAGTTGTACAACTTTTCTGTAGTATCATGGGTTTGGTTTATATACAGGTGCTTATAAAAATAAAATCCAAGGACCTAAGTTCAGTTTTCAGCCTCACATTGGACAGCTCACAACAGCCGGTAACTCTGGCACCAGGGATCTATTGCCCTCTCCTGGCCTTTGTTGGTAATTGCAAGCAAGACACATAAACACGCAAAGACCAGGGGGGATCTGTTGCCCTCTTCTGGCCTTTGTGAATACTTGCAAACAAGCACACACACACACACACACACACACACACACACACACACACACACAC